AAGCTGTTTTATTTTCCAAGGTACAGGAAGGGACCTTGCCGAAACAAAATCGCTTCCTAACCTACAAACTGTCGTAAACTGATTGTTTAAGAGGATGAATCTACTCACCACATTACAAGGACTTCTATTATTCTAATAAAGTCCACAATCCGACTAGCACCTTCGATTAAAGAAAACGAATTTGAAATTAAAAATTTTTACTTCTGTCTTTGAAAAATAATATTTACTCACAAAAACCACGGGGTGATCAGTAGAAAGCTCAAATTATTGTAAGGGATCTGTAACGGTAATCTAATTTAGGAAATTTATTTTCCGGCCGCTAGATGTCAGAACTATGAAAAAATGGTATGTGTTCCAAGGTACACTATGCCCAAGGTACAACAGTCTCCCCTACGGGTCGCAATAACGGTACCTGTGTATTCGAACAGAAACTCAATGGAGAGATGCTTATTTTTAAATAGCGTATTTGAATCAAAGATGGACCAAGTGACTACAGTGACATTCCAATGTTCAAAAAGTTTTGCGAGAGCTGTAAAAGTGTGGATCCCAAGAAAATACAGATTTATACTGAAAAGCTGTCACGCCCGAATATTTCAGAGACGTAAAAGCTGCCAGAATTTTATCGGCATGAATTGACGAAAGAATTTGCTAGAGACGACTATCAAGAATTAATAGAACTTTCACTGATATTCCTTGGCGGAAATACAGGGAAAAGATTTAAGATTCGACCGCCAGGCGTCATGCATCAAGCTCTATGGATGGCCAGAGCAATTTATTCATTAAAAGTGGCGTTACTAAGTTCCCAGCTCAATTTTTTTGATAGGGATATGGCCAAGTCTGGGACGTAGGCCCGTATCGTCAGTCGTCCCTAGAATTGTAGGGCGCGTTTATGGCCTCCTTGATTGTCATACTCATTTCTCTCCTTCAAAAATTTCTAGATTACACTTGTCCCGTGTCAGCGTCAGCGCTCTCCTATTGTGAAGATGTTTTCTTTTTAAATTGTAGGAAATTTCAGGCTGATAAAACATGATATAACTCAAAAGCAAGCACAATTTGATGCAAATAGATGTTTGTGACATAACCTCAAAATAGAGCGCTGACACGGAGAAGTAGAAAACTATGACAATCAAGGAGGCCATAAAGGCGCCCTACAATAGTAGGAACGACTGACGATACGGGCCTTAAATATCATCAATTCATCGTGACAACATACGTGAAACCGTAAAGCACCTAACAAGGATTTATATTTTTTAAAGGCAGTGAAGGCTTACAAAAGAATGGCCAAAACCATTTTAAAAGCAGCTTTATGAAAGTTCTGCCAACATTTATATTTGACAGATGAGGTCTTTATCTTATATTTGTTTGACAAAGACGTAAATGATGAAACTAAAGTGAAAATTGTTGCTAATTTAGCCAAATAAAGTTCATCAGCCCACGGTAAACGCTACATCTCATCGAAAGAAGAACTTTCTGGCCGACTTTATGATAAGTCTGACGAGTAAATTTTCCTTGCTTCTCTTAATGCTTCGGTATAATATTGTAACTGTTAAAACAAGCTAGCATAAACTGCGATTCTGGCAATATATGGCACCTTATACTTTCTTGTTTCGATAGACCTTATCCCTCAGATAGAGGTTAGTTGCTTTTATTCATTGTCCTGACCTGAGGCCATGCCTAGACGATGCTGATGAATTGCCAAGAAGCACAAAACATCTGTCCATAGTCGACTGTCTGTGACCAGTATGTTTAGGTGGTAGCTATTCGTCGTGTTTTCATTTCAGAGAAAAATGTCGCTGACTTTGTTTCAATCAAAAGCCAGTCCATTTTCAGTCGATTCATAATTAATGACGACGGGTGTCCAACTTCATGGCCACATAATGAATTTTTTCAACACTGAGAGCAGAAAGAGCAGTCAAGTTGATGCAAGACTTCCATGGCTTGATTACTGCTGATGAGGAACAAAAATAATTTTTATTATGTTGCGTACAAGAACACTGGTATATCCTGACTGTAAAAAGAAAACTGTCAAAAGAAAGTAAATAGTTTTCTTTTAATGATAAATATCTACGAAATATAAGATACGAATAAAGATAAAGATAAAGAATTTGTCAAATAAGAATTAGGCTTTCCTTTTAACTTTCCAATTCAAGGTTTAACCGAAGCTCGGCACGGGTTAGAGTTAAATGGAAAAAAATTGTACAAGTCATACAACATCCAGAAACACATCTCATTTTCGAAATTTTTCGCGATTACGATACCTCTTGTGGAAAGTAAAATGGTCGCATCGAGGTTCTAAGACAAGCATCTTTAAGCTCCAAATTTCTAGTTTTTGAATCTCAGTGAACATTTTTTTAAATGAGATATTATATTTTTTCTTATGTTATTGTATACGAAATGCACATTAGGTAAAAACATGTCACCCATTTCAGTCTGTCTGTCGGTATGTCATTCCGCTAATACTTAGCGTCTTTAACTTGGGAAGTACCAGTCGAATTTTGATGAAATTTTTATACAAGATTGCTACTATGTTCGGGATCAGAAAGCTTTGTAGTTCTTGAAAATTGGTCCAATGTCGACGGAGAAAAATGCCAAAAACGACAAAAGATTGCCCAATTTCGCTTTTTGACGATTCAGAGGTTCCTGATCATTTTCGAAGGATTTTCAATGCTAAAAAATTGGGGGTGGGGAGTCGTACGGGGTAAGTGAGGGAGGATGTATCTCATTTTTTGGCGGCAGTATATTTTTAGACTTCTAGCTCCAGTAATTGGATGCGCCTATTAAGCATATTTCTCTCATATTTATATTACCCCGTATACTAGTCTTTAAAACTCAGACTGATAGAAACATTACGTTTGTTCAATTGTAACTACCAGTGCAATGTGATTTATTGAATAAAAATAATCAGATAGGCTGACAACAAAAGGACTGTGTTATAAGGAGATATTTTGTGGAATGAAAAATTTGATCTATACTAAGTGATATAAATCCGAAACACCCAGTTTAAATGGTTTTATTTTAATAAAATTTTGTATAAGTACTTAATGAAGCATAATAAGTAAATGACAAAAATTTTAAAATGATTGCACTGCTTTAAAGCCCTTTGACCTTTAATAATGTGTGGATGCACCCTGATGTGCTACGCATTCTCCAACGCGCCTAGGCATGCTTCTGATCAGGTGGTCAATGTTTTCCTGTGGTATCTCATTCCAGGCAACCACCAACTCCTCTCGAAGTGCTTCTAGAGTCTGAGGAGGACGTTGCAAATTGACCAATCTCCTACCCATCATATCCCACACGTGCTCAATTGGGATAAGTCGGGAGATCTTGGTGGCCATGGTAACAATGTGACATCGTTATGTTGAAAGAAGTCTATTGTGACTCCTGCAACATGTGGTCGGGCATTATCTTGTTGGAAAGTTGGATCTGCCAGGGTGTCAAGATAGGGTAAAAGATGGGGTTCTAGAACTTCGTGGATATAACGCTGCGCGTTCATGTTATCTCTGACGAAGATTAAAGGTGACCTGGAACCATAAGCTATAGCACCCCAAACCATAACTCCAACAGTGTGATGAACATGCCTTTCAACAAAAAACTGTGGATTCCTCCTTTCACCACGTCGCCTTCTAACCCTGGCACGACCATCGTGCATGCCTAAACAAAATCGAGACTCGTCACTAAAGACAATACTATTCCATTCCTGATCCCAAAGTGTCGATTACGTCGATGTTCTCGAGTTAAAGGGAGGACCCAGTGTGGCCGGTATGAAAACAAGCCAAAACTTCTCATTCGTCGGTAAACACTTCGCATGCCAATAGGTCTTCCGTGTTCTGCAAACCATTCATTTGCAATGGACCTGGTAGTGGAGAAACGGTCCCTTAAGGCCAATAATCTTAGGCGGCGATCTTCACGATCTGTTGCTCTACGGCGGCGTCCAGTGCCCCTTGCTCTTTGCGTACGGCCTTCTCGAAGCCATGCCTGACAAGACCTAACCACAGTGTCTACACTTCTTTGCACTCTAACTGCAATTGCCCGAAAAGAAAGTCCAGCTTCCCGAAGTCCCCTATCAAACTCACTAAGTTGACGAAATCGTACAGGTCTCCGTACTCTAGGCATCGTAACCGATCGTAAAGCATGTCAAGAACCAAAATCCGCCAACGTTGATTCTTTACTGCGGCTGAAATATTCATCTTTAGAGCGTTATTGAATTAAAAAAAAAAGCAGTATAAAAACCGGAATGTCCAACTGATAAGGCTGAAAATTTTTTCACTTGTTATTTACAGTAAGATAAATACATTCACCAACTTTTATTAAAATAAAACCATTTAAACTGGGTGTTCGGATTTATATGTCACTTAGTATATATTAGTACTTTTTCCAAATAAAAAAAATAATAAACTTACTAAAGTTTTTATCCAATCATATTAATTATATCGATGACAAGCTTCAAGGGTTTCCATAGTCGACCTATAGTAAATCTACCATGATGTATATACAACGTCAATTTGTACAGAATTGTGTTGGAAGTACTGAGTCAATCTACTTGATGACATTTTTTATTTTTTCATTTAGGTCCACGGTCTCCGCTAAACTATTGCATGGATCAATAGACCGTTTATTCTGCTTCAATTCACTTTTGTCAAAACCTGGATACGACTATTTCTTGTTAAGATATCGGATTTTTAATGAAAAACGTTTTTGCCATCCATCATATGGGCTGGAAAAACAGGAAAAACTGGGTAATTTGTTTTTTTTTTGCAAAACCAAAGTCTATGTTGCGAATATTGATAAGACGGCTAATATTGAGCGAGACTTTTGCGGATGTATATACCCCGAAACAACCCATATTTAAAAAAAATCGTCAACATTTTAGGTAAAGATATTTACCCACAAATTTGGTAGGAAAATATGCAAAAGAATCCAAAAATTGATTTTAGCTTTTTTAAATATTGTTTTGACTTTTGGAGTTCCAAATATTACCGAATAAAAGACGAATGACTTGCATTCATATTATTTATTATTGTATCTTACAAATGTCATAATAATTAACAGACAAAATAAATATTAAACGCTATCAACAACAATCCATCTATGAATCCGCTCATTTCCATCCATACCCATGCGGTCCTACATGGTAGGCTCCAGCAGATAAATGCTCAGCAGCCAGATGACCAGCAGCTAATTGGCCAGCTGCATGAGCTCCAGCAACTTGAGCTCCCGCAGCAAGATTTCCAGCTGACTGGGCTTCAGCAGCAGCAATGTTTGCTGTGTGTGCCCCAGTTGCTGCAAGATCAGCTGCAGTAGCTAGTTGTCCAGCTGCATGTGCTGCGGTAGCAGATGCCCTGGATGCAGCTAAAGATGAAGAAGCGGATAGGTGCGACGAAGCTGCCAGATCTGAAGAAGCTGCCAGTGATGCTCCTGCTGCAACAGCGGCTGCAGATGCACCTGCAAGAAGGAATTAAATTGTAACGATTGGAATGAAAGTACTGGGTCTATTGACGATTTGAAGTCGAAGCTGATTTAGAGACATTATAAAATGTACGAGGTATGTATATTAAGTGATGATAGTGACTCTTTCAAATGTTTTTATTCAAATATAAAGACAATTTTATTTTGTCACGCTCAAAATAACTTCCTTTTGAAGCCACACAACGCTGGAGACGGTTCTTCCACTCCTCATAGCAGTGCTAGAACTCCGACACCGCAATAGCCTTTAGTTGGTCTGTTACAACTATTTAAATGTTTTGGACTGACCAAAAATGAGTTCCCTTGAGGCGATTTTCAAACTTCAGGAAGATAAAAGGTCTCAATTCAAGCGAATAAAGAGACTGAGGAGCCACAGGAATGCTTTTACTGGGCAAAAACTCGTTTATTGACATTAACGGTTGTGTGAGTCAAATGTAACTATTTTCCGATCATTCTGACTGGCAACCGACGATTTGACCGCATAAGATCCCAGATTTTGTCGATATTTTCATCGGTTCTTGAAGATGAAGGCCTTCTGCCTCGTGGTTCATCTTCAAGCGACTCTCTCCCTTCTGAGAATGCGTCAAGCCGCCGAAAAACCTAGGCTCTTGACAAAGCACTATCTCGTCAGGCCTGTTGAAGTTTAGCAATAGTTACCGTTGCACTGAGCTCGAGTCTGAAGCAAATCTTAATAGCACATCGTTTCTCGAAATTGATGACACTCATTTTTAAAACACAATATGTAAAATTGTTTCACAAGAAAATTCGGGCAACCAAATGACTCGAGCGATTTGAAACTGGTACTGAAGGCGGATTATATGTACCCCTGTCACCCCTTCAAGCTCGGCGCCTCCAGCGTTTCCAGTTTCATTACTTAATTTACAGACCTTGTATACCATTCTTTGGCTCCCGCTTGACAAGTATGCATAAATGCTAGTATTATTCCTCTGCACAGCTTCGATATTAAGGATGGAAATCTATATACATACTAATCCAAGAATTGTAATTGAAGACAGATTAATGACATGTCTAAATTTATCAAAAATTGGATGTGACGATCAATTTGCATCTACGAGTATATAGAGTGAACACAGTCACATTGGAAGTTGTTGAGTGTCTTTCATATATTTAATATTTATCCTTCTATGCCCATCCATCAACGCGCACAAACTAAGAGTATTCAAAACTAAATTAGTAAGTTACCGAAAATGTATTGGCGAATTTAGGAGTTCTCTGTACAAATGGTGAAATGATATTTCTAATGTTGAGGCCTCATTCCTCTACTACTAAATTCTTAAAACAACAGTTTCATATATCTAATTTAGTTTTTAGTTCTCCTGGTTGGTGCGCGCTGCCCTTAGACTTTCAAATCCAAAGGTGTAGGAGAACCTTAATCTAACGCAACGTCTAAGCGTAGGTCCTTTTCAAGAAAAATATTTAACTTTAAACAAATGATTTCAATTGCAACATATTTCTTACCATGCAAGGAAATTCCATGACCAGCAGAAATGGCGGTAGGACCAAAAGCAACAGCTGCAGGAGCTACAGCTATGGCTGGTGAAGGAGCAATTACTGGTGTTGCATGAACAGTGGCAATTGCAGGACCTGCTAGTACAGCTCTAGAATAGGAATACACATCAATCAATAAACTACTAAACATAATCCCGCTTAGGACGGCGTATGGTTAGAGCCACTGCTGTTTTTAAGACAAGCTCACCGTCTTCATGGTATAAAATTGGGAAATGAATGCAACTACAGACCAGGGTAATAGACGTTTCAAGTTGGCAACAACTTCAGTTATCTTTTTCATGTATCAGGAAGGTTGTTATATAATAAAACAGTAATATGTTCAAATTAAAAAGCTGCAGTCCGGTAAAATAGTTTTTTCAAAATATACCCTTATAGGCCTCTTATTATCTTTTAGCTATTTTATGTCTACAATTATACTATGTACAGGGTATCTGGAAATTGAAGGATAATCCTAAAACTGGAAGTAGGTCATACCACGACTTACTGTTTGGCAAAATTTTGTTTGGTGAAAAGTCTCATGCTTTTTCAGATATACAGCAATCATTTTTTGTTTTAGCTATAATCGACACTCGTATAGTTAAACTGTTACCATTCCTACAAATACCATTTTTTGAACTGAGTTTATTTTAACATATTCACAATTGGTTGTTTAATTGAAATCAGTGTTGTTTTCTATTATGTTGCAGGGAAAACATCATATAACTATGCTAATGTATACTCTCTGCACTGAGTTTACAGCAAAAAAATGCACAAACCGCGGATTGGACTGGCGCGACGTTGTCAGAAGAACACTTTAATTTACGATTCATTCTTGTACAGTTGAGATCAGATCTGAAGGACAAAAATTTCACAAATTTTCTCGCAAAACTGAAATTTCATAACCGCCTCCTTGAAACCTTGCCCATGAGCTGTTTCCCCGAAAAGAGCGGCCGCCTCCGGACAAGCTATAGCTGTGCGGTTGAATCCCAGCCGATCAGAGGCTAGCGGATGTATCCTGACAATGCGTAGTTGAGTGAATTATGAGTACATTTGATGGCGCAGACCGTCTGTTACGCGGAGGTATCGAAAGATAAAAACACCTAAAATCGGCTAGAGAAAATATTTCGCGATGAAGATGGATAATAATTTAAAGCAACGTATAGAAATAAAGCACCAAGCCGTATTTCAGGAAATATAACATTAAATTTATTATTTTGAAACTACCTAACAAAAGTTTGATATAATTATTTTTAGTTCTTTTTATTTAAACTTAAAATTTACTATTTTAGTTTCGAGACGATAAGGTTGAGGTGTTATTGTTATTCATCCCGTTTATTATTTTGATTCAAATCAAATGTTAAATGTATCAGAGACAGAACATATGTGGCAAAAATTGTTTTTAATTTTTTATTGTTGAAGGTTCAAAAGAAGTTTTTTTTACCCTTAGGGGCTTCTAACATTTTATTTGTTGTATTCATCCGCTTTTTATTTTTTTGGAGACACTTGTTTTTGTTTTTTACTTTTGAAACCATGGGTCTAACTCAAAATGAGTTTCGACCGTTGAAATTGATTTCGATGGCGCCTCGTGACGATATACTTGATCCTCTATGATAGTTTTGACTCTGCCACGATAATTTGAATATAGAGATTGATATGATCAGATGTCAAACTTATCATAGAGTATAAAATATATCGTCACAAGTCGCCATCGAAATTCATTTCAGCAGTTGAAGCTTATTTAGAATCAAGCTCATTTTGGTTATTTTTATCCTCATCATCTTATTTTACTGTTATTGTGATAAATTGTTAATCTTTTAATTTTATTAGTACTATATGTATAGAAAAGCATACAGAGAGTCGACTAAAACAAATCGATTTTTTCTTTAATAATCGATTTTCATTTCATCGATTAATCTTGAAGATGGAAAATCGATCATTCGTTAATAATTTTTTTTACTCATTGTCACACCCTTACTGAATAATACCCACATTTCTTATTGTTTGATTCCAACGGGTCCTCATTTGTACTAAGTGTGCAAGTATCTTTAAAAGTGTTTATACCGACTTAAATATAATTCGTCAGTATCACAATAAATAAAATAAAAAACATATTTTAAAAACAAACTTTTATTTAGCTGTTCATATAATAATTACCCTGAAATTTGGAAATATTTTCTCCGATTGGAAATATTTAAACTATGATGAAACTCCTTCATCTCAAGCTTAGAAATAATAACGTGCTACACTCTTTTTCCATTCTGCTGTCAAAACGTAGCACGCTTTTATTTCCAAGCTTGAAATGAAGGAGCTTCACTAACGTTTAAATATTTCCAATCATAAAAAATATTTTTAAATGTTTAGTTCTCTTTTTGTGAGAAGCTAAATGAAAGCTTGTCTATGTAAATATATTTTTATTTATTTCCTAATTTTTGGTATTCAACAACTAGTTTGACTTTTTCTATATAACTTTCATATGTTTCTTTAATGGGGCTCCATAAAACTTCCTACTTTATTGGTATTATATAGTAAGACAATGATAAATCGATTTTTTGCGCCGATCACCATATGGAATTTATAATGACGTTATTTGCTCATCATCATGTTTCTCTGATTAAGCCCTTTTATTTGATGCCCATATCATAGCGATGACCACGGAAATTATAAATGGGTATACATCGATAGCCGCCACATTGAATCCCGAATTAAGTCTTTGCTAATTATATTCATTCATCAAGCCATTTCATTTAATACCCATAGATTGTGTAGGGGTGACTATATTGGATTCAGAATGTCATCGAGTTGCTTGCCATTGTTTCTCTAATGAAGCTCTTTAATTTGATACCTATATCATAGGGGTGACTAAGATAATAATAGGATCTTGGAGCGGTCGCCATATTGTATCCGGCATGAGGTCACTTTGCTTAGGCAGCAGCGGTGGCCGCAGTAGTAGACTCTTCGGTCTCCTGACCAGTCGCCGTGCGCTGTGCGGGTTCGAGTCCCGTCCCAAGAGAAATTTTTCTCTTGGCTATGGATGTTGTGATTGTCCGTAGGTGGTAGACGGTCTCTGACTGTCGAACACGGAGGTACCACCCGGCGGATCTCGTAGGCGGAGCCAGAATGTGTGCATATTGCATGCACACGTGTTCTCTCGCCAGAGTCCGTGTGGCGTTCCCCCTTTCCCCTGTATCCCCTATAGCCCCACGGTACCCAGTGGATGTTTAGGTCTTAGGCCTTCGTGGTAGTTGGAGTATAAAAAAATCCCTTTCATCATAGAGGTTACTGTGAAAAATGTCGCCATTTTGCTGCGGCCGCCATATTAGATTTATAATGACGTCACTATGCTAATTACGTTTTTCTCATCAAGCCATCTGATACCTATATCAAATAGGTGACTGTGAAAGTGTAATTCGCTATTTTGCAGCAGCCACTATATTATATTTAGAACGGCATGAATATTATGTTTCTCTCAACAAGCCTTTTCATTTGACACCCATGTCGTAGGGGTGGCGATGAAATATATGGATCACCATTTTGCTGCGGGTGTCATATTGCATTTGGAATGACAGCATTTAGATTATTGTGTTTCTCTCATCAGTCCCATTTATTTGATACTGATATCGTGGGGGTTATACCCATATAAGAAGATTTGGTATAGGAATGATGAATCACCATTTTGCATCAAAATGACGGCATTAATTAATTTTGTATTATCCCGCAAACCGAACGTGTATACAAAATTTCAACTCAATTAGTTGGGATTAACTGGCTTAAAATTCAGTTTCAAAATTTGTCTCACCCGTACTAATACAAGTATACTAACAAGCAGTTCCAGTTAGATAAAAGCTAGTTAATTTGCTGTCCAAATCATTACAGTGACTTAGAATATCATCTCCCCTGTCATAGAAGGATGGCTGTGTAAACTGTCCCTGACCTATTAGCTGCGGCGGCTGCAATAGCAGCGTGTCCAGCTGCAGCCGCAGCACTCTGCCTGCTTCCCTCAGCAATCTGTCCGGCAGCTACTAGCTGACTGGTCTGCGCCACTGAAACTGCTTCGGCTCGGCGTGCTGCATCAGCAGCGTGTGCTGCTTCTGCCACGCGAGCGGCAGCTACTGCTTCGTTGGATGCGGCAATGCGATTGGCTGAATGTACTTGAGCGGCAGCCTGGATTTGAGCGGAAGATACCTGTAAAATTGTGGTTTATGATGGTTATGGACGTAAGAAGTAAGAAAAATTGTCTGATTAGATTTTTTGGAATAATTCAACGAGTCCGCATGTTTCCAAGCCGAAAATAGCGTCAAAAATTGGTAAAACGATGTTTTGGCACTTCCCATAAAATGCTTTTTTATTACGTTTCGCTATCTCATTCTGAAGAAAAAAATGTTTTCATGAACTCTTCTCTATAAATATTTGAAGAAGTACGTATTATGCCGTTTTTGACCACGAAAAAAAAAAGAAAGTTCTTAACTAGTCTTGAGCATCCATTAATTAAATTCCTAAGCATAGGGGGTGTTGTTGTTGTAAGCCTTAGTCTTTTTTGATTGTTTACTAAGCATGAGCTCATGCAGAATATACATTGTGCGTGTGCCCTAAAATGATTTTGAGTTTTCATAATTGATGTTAGAGAAATATCTAGGATTTGTGCATTAGTAAAATTTTAGTTTTTTCACATTATTTTACAGTATCGAAGATGCCATATTTCGCACTTTTTTAAATAATAATACTGGGTAATCAAAGTGCCCTCTTTATTGTTCAAATACCAAATACAAAATGTTTCTATATTAAAGCTCGTTCTTCGTTTTACTTCGTATTAGTTTTACATGTTTATAACCACACCAACTGAAACTAAATATTTTCTGTGTCATTAGAAGCTCTTAGTGCCAATTTTATACAAAAGCGCTTTTTACAAAATGAATCAGTAACTCTCATTCCAAAGAAAATGTTCCACTCTCAAGTTGAGTTCCTAATAAATTATGTTAAATGCTATAATTCTAAGGAGAGTTAATTTTTAAGAGTTTCATGAATTAATTAATTTTTTATGTAACCTTCAATAGCCTCATTATTTTTCTACATCTTAAATAAACATTTAATTGTTAATGTGAGCTAACTATTTATCTAAAATGTCTTTAAATAAAATAATCAATTGTTTAGAATCTTCTATCTCCCAGATTGGTGTGTTAGTCTACATTCAGCGGACCAGATTGCTTATAACTCAAAAACTATTGACTTTAGAGAGAAGTTCATAAAAACTTGTTCTATTCAGAATGTCCGAAAAACCTAAAAAAACATTGTAGCTAGAAAAGCATTTTTGTAACTTAGTTACAAATTGTTTAAACAACTTTTAACGCAATTTTGGGCCTGACAACCTGCAGATCCTTTTTGAATAAGGTTATGCAAAAAAAAGAATCAGAATATTTTTCCTAGCGGATGCGAAGATACTTCGTGGACTAATTAAAATCTTCGAAGAGCAATGTAGCGAACAGAGGTTCAGTATGGTTCTATGGACCACCCAGACAGATAAACAACGAATAATAAGAGTAACATGATTATTCGTTAATAATAAATGATCCTCTGGTCATTTTATCTAAAATGTTTCGAGAAAATGATGAATTCTTGATCAAACACATATGGAAAAATATTCTCTGTTAAATAAACGTACTTACCTGTGCTGCAGCTTGTGCTTCAGCCGCCCTACTGGCAGCAGCAACTCCATTCGCGTGTGCGATCTCCGCGGCAGCTATGGACTGCGTCTCCGCAGCCCGACTAGCCGCCGCGATACCATTGGAGTGCGCGATCTGCGCAGCTGCGAGTGATTGGGTCTCAGCCGCGCGACTTGCTGCGGCCAGTCCGTGCGCGTTGGCGATTTGCGCAGCTGCTACGGAATGCGTAGCTGCTGCGTTGTTGGCCGCTGCGACGCTATTCGCTGTGGCGATTTGAGCTGCAGCTGCAGAATTGGCTGCGGACGCGTGACTTGCAGCGATGCTGGCGCCAGCTGCAAACGCCACGTCAGCTGTGAAATGAAAAGAAGTTAAACACAACTATCCAAGTTGTAATAATACCGCTTTCCGTACAATAATACTCAAGTACCAAAATGGATGAGAACATCATACAACATTGTACTCCACTGCTAGCGTTGCGCTTCTTTGCAATGTTCTATGCTATTCTCTTCCATTTCAGTAACAAACTATAGTTTTATATCGAAATATACAAAATTCGTTACATTTAAATTTGAGATACCTCAATCAAGAAACAACCCTCCTGTCGAAACCTCATCTCACACAGCTTTTATAAGGTTTTGATAAATAATCGGGGGTTATCCATTATAACAGATTTTTGCAAATAAAGCTTGAAGTAGCGAAGTCTGTCACACTCATATCTTATAAGTGCGCTTCTTCCCTGGTACTTGTTTTCCCTTAGGACCTTATCGTCAGTCGTTCCCACAATATTGTAGGACGCCTTTATGGCCTCCTTGATTGTCATAGTTTTCTACTCTTCCGTGTGAGCGCTCTATTTTGAGGTTATGTTACTAATATCTATTTGCATCAAATTGTAGTACATACTATTGACACATTTGTCTACCAACGATTACCAAAGTAACTAATATCACAATTATCGCAAACGCTGGCGTTTTTAAAAAATAACACTAAAAATAGAAATTTAATGATAGAACTAGATAGATCTAGAAATATAAGAAGAAAGTATAACTGGAAAAAGTCTCCTCATTATTCTACAATGTCGATACCCTAGGATAAAGGAGTAGTCGTTTCGACCTTTAGTGGATGTCCGAAGTTTGACACGGTTAGGATGGGAGACCGAAGTCAGGCTGGTCTGTCTGGCAGGCACATCGCGCGGCAGCATCATGCAGGAAGGCTCTGAGGAGCAAATCCCATTGGCCTAGATGTATAAGGGTGCTAGTTTGCTGACGGCCGCCGGTGTGAAAGGGTTCCAAGACTGTCAGTTAGAGAAGAGTCATCGATCAGTCGGACCGCCCTCCTCTGAATAGCATAGAGCATGGATAATGTAGTCGTAGTGTCAGCATCCCAAACATGAAAGCAATCCTCGAGGCTAGGTCTTCTCTGGACCTTGTACAAAGTAAGGAGTTCATGTCGAGAAAAGTACTTCTTAGCCCTAAACAAATAGCCTATCTTTTTTTAGCAGCTGCCGCTATTGACGTGATGGATTCGTGTCAGATCAAGTCCTCGGTGATCTGCACATCACTGAAATGAACGGCTCTTTGGAAGAACCCGGCCATCCATCGAAACCGGATAAGGGGGACCCTTCTTTTCATCAAGGTACAATACTGTGTTTTGGAAGCATTAAACTGTACAAGATTGTTGCGTCCCCAAGCAGTAATAACATCCAGGTCTCTCGTCAGAGAGGAAGTCGCTGTTAGTCTTTGTTTCTCCAACTCACGGGCGGAGATCAGCTTGTCACTTTGGATTCCTGCATGTAGAGTGGTAGCAAATCTCAAATATAACGCCGAAAGCTATGTTATACGTATATATGCAAATTTTAAAGAGCAGGGAGGGGGCATGAATCTCTTTTGTGGCTGTCCAAGGGATTCTTAGAAATTTGTTGCAACCCAATGACGAGAGTACTAAGTCGGCCTAATTGACCGCATTTTTTATTATTTTATAATAGGTACTTACGGTGGGGCACAATAGCTACTGGAGCAACCACTGGGGCTGCGATAACGGGGGCGGCAATAACTGGTCTCACGGCACCCACATGTTCCCATACAATGTTGCCATGATGTCCATGAGATGGCATGGCGAATGTGCCAGACGTAAGTGCCAGGACTGCTAGAGCTAAGAGTGCCTGAAAAAGTTTGAAAATTGAAAATCTTCAATTTGAGCTTGAAAGTAGCATAATGGAAAGTACCGTTTCTCCTTAAAAGTTTCACGTACTAGCTGAGCTAGATTCGCTTTGGTAATTGAGAATAAACCTTTAGTGATCATCGGTCACCACTATTTAGAATTGAAGTTGATCTCTAAAGGTTGAGAAACTTGTGGTGGTGACACTTCTTTAGAAAACCTCATTTTTTTAAAAAACGCCTCTAGAAAACCTAATCGTCGAGTATGGTCATTCAGAATTCCTATACACTGTTTTCATAAACCACAGAATCATCCAAAATGTTTGTTCGCGGACATCGTCCACAAACGAAAAGAAATGTTAGTGACATGTTCGTTCACGAACGTTGAATGGCTGCTGTGTTCAGCTGATAGATTAATCTTTTTATTTAATTGGTTGTTGCTACTCTATGTAAATATGAGCGTTTACTTGAGTTTTTATGCAAATAAGGTAACGTAGGTGGATCTTGCAGTGTCTTGGAGGTGACATTTTCGATTCATTCCCATTAGCAACATGAATTTGTATTTTGGAACTACACAAACCTCTGAATATCTCCAAAATACTAATTTGGGCAAATGTTTAAAGGTAGAGAACGCATAGCAACAAAAATATTTGATGAGAAGCGGGCTAAAAAGTATTAACCAGAAATGAAAAATAATTCAGAAAATCCGTTCATCTGTGAAGGCACTCTGGAGCAATCGAAGTTTGACATTAAAAATTATATGTACAAGGTTTGTCGCAAAGTAAAAAGGATAAAGAAAAAATGAAAAAACATTTTTCGTTTCGGAAAATCGAATTTATTTTATTCTAAATAGCCTCCTTCAGAGTTAATTCAGCGATTTGTATGGACCGAAAGATTTTCGAATGATGATTTTAGCTCATTGACCGCGATGTCCTTCAAAATGGTCGTCAACGTCTTTTAAATGTCCTCTACGTCGGCATACCGCTGTACCTTCATGGCCAAATCTGGTTTACCGAACAGAAAATAGTCACATGGTACCATACAATAAAATGCCATTTTGTGTCGAAAAATCGGACACAAGCATCGATCGATGAGATGGTGCATTATCGTGCAACAAGCGCCAGCTTCCTTCTTTGCGATATTTTGGCTGAATACGATGAATACACGACAGAAAACGCCTCATAACACCAAATAAAAAAACAGCATTAACCGTCTGGCCGAGTGGAACGAATTCTTTGTGAATAATTCCCTTTGAATCGTGGAAACCAATCAACACTGTCTTCACTTTGGACTTTTCCAAACGGCTTTTTGTCGGATTTGGCTCGCTTGGGTGCTTCCATTCGATTCTTTGTCGCTTGGTTGCGGGATCGTATTGAAAACACCACGTTTCGTCATCAGTCACAATGTTGTACAGAAACTTTTTTTTTTTTTGGCCTCTAATGATGTCTCTCGAATGTTGAATTCGAAGCAATTTTTGGTCATCCCTGGGCTTATGCGGTGTTCCGGTTTGTTAACCGTGAACACACCTTTCTCATGCCCAAATTCTTAGTCAAAATGCGATGGATTGTATCTTTAGAGATATTTATTCAATACAATGAAATGTATCTCATAAGTTGGATCATTTTTGATAAATTCACGCACTTTCGACGGTTTCTGGCGTAATCACAAATTTCGGCTGGCCACAATCTTCGTCGTCTTCCAGCGACTCACGACTCTGTTTGAACCGCGTAAACCACTCGTGGACTCGGCTACGACATAAATAATCACCCCATACACTTTCATCAACATCCGATGCGTTACGGTAAATGTTTCACCAAGTTTAACACAGAATTTAATAACGGCTCTTTGTTCGATGCTCATTTTTCGACCGATGCTAAAAAGGTACTGTCACTTTGAGCGCGATGACTCTGCGTGAAGTGGTTCGATTGTGATGAAATTTCGAAAGAGCATAAATGAGAGATGTACCTATCCAATATATTATCCTTCGATAATAGATGGAGCTAGTTATATACTAAGTGACATATAAATCCGAACACCCAGTTTAAATGGTTTTATTTTAATAAAATTTTGTATAAGTACTTAATGAAGCATAATAAGTAAATGATAAAAATTTCAAAATGGTTGCACTGCTTTAAAGCCCTTTGACCTCTAATAATGTGTGGATGCACCCTGATGTGCTACGCATTCTCCAACGCGTCTAGGCATGCTTCTGATCAGGTGGTCAATGTCCTCCTGTGGTATCTCATTCCAGCCAACCACCAACTCCTCTCGAAGTGCTTCTAGAGTCTGAGGAGGAGGTTGCAAATTGAGCAATCTCCTACCCATCATATCCCACACGTGCTCAATTGGGGATAAGTCAGGAGATCTTGGTGGCCATGGTAACAATGTGACATCATTATGTTGAAAGAAGTCTATTGTGACTCTTGCAACATGTGGTCGGGGATTATCTTGTTGGAAAGTTGGATCTGCCAGGGTGTCAAGATAGGGTAAAAGATGGAGTTCTAGAACTTCGTGGATATAACGCTGCGCGTTCATGTTACCTCTGATGAAGATTAAAGGTGACCTGGAACCATAAGCTATAGCACCCCAAATCATAACTCCAACAGTGTGATGAACATGTCTTTCAACAAAACACTGTGGATTCCTCCTTTCACCACGTCGCCTTCTAACCGTGGCACGACCATCGTGCATGCCTAAACAAAATCGAGACTCGTCACTAAAGACAATACTGTTCCATTCCTGATCCCAGAGTGACCGTTGTCTGCACCACTCAAGGCGATTACGTCGGTGTTCTCGAGTTAAAGGGAGGACCCAGTGTGGCCGGTATGAAAACAAGCCAAAGCTTCTCATTCGTCGGTAAACACTTCGCATGCCAATAGGTCTTCCGTGTTCTGCAAACCATTCATTTGCAATGGACCTGGTAGTGGAGAAACGGTCCCTTAAGGCCAATAATCTTAGGCGGCGATCTTCACGGTCTGTTGTTCTACGGCGGCGTCCAGTGCCCCTTGCTCTTTGCGTACGGCCTTCTCGAAGCCATGCCTGACAACACCTAACCACAGTGTCTACACTTCTTTGCACTCTAACTGCAATTGCCCGAAAAGAAAGTCCAGCTTCCCGAAGTCCCACTATACGGCCCCTATCAAACTCACTAAGTTGACGAAATCGTACAGGTCTCCGTACTCTAGGCATCGTAACCGATCGTAAAGGATGTCAAGAACCAAAATCCGCCAACGTTGATTCTTTACTGCGGCTGAAATATTCATTTTTAGAGCGTTAGTGAATTAAAAAAAAGCAGTATAAAAACCGGAATGTCCAACTGATAAGGCTGAAAATTTTTTCACTTGTTATTTACAGTAAGATAAATACATTCACCAACTTTTATTAAAATAAAACCATTTAAACTGGGTGTTCGGATTTGTATGTCACTTAGTATATCTGATACCTTTCAAAAGTCCTGTTTACTTTGCGACAGACCTTGTATTATATTAGGGAAAATTCCACCTCTCCACAGCCTTATTTGGAGAAGATTCATATTTTGTACTTAATTAGCGACGAAGAAATTGTCACACCCTGAATTTGATAATGGGGCATTTTGGAACCTATTATTACAATAACTTTTTACGTCATTTTTATATGTACTTTCTGCTTTATAAATATTCCCAATATTTTTGCATCACTCTTTCTTATACTAATCTTTCAGAATAAAATATCCGCTAGGCATCTGCCCATCTATTTACCAATGAAAGCTCGTTATCCAGCATATATAATTTTGAAGTAGCTCATTTTTCCCTTATATTTTATTTCAGATTTTAGAGTTTTATTTGCAGTCCTATTTTATCTATCTTTTTAGCAGTCTACTGATACGTTTATAGAACTCCCCTCGATAGCACGAAATATTCACTAAATATTTATTCAATATATAATAATATTTTTATCTTACTTAAATATTTGTTACCTTCAACAAATATTTAATAAATATTTGGAGTATAATATTTTGATTAAATATTTATTCAATATCTTGCAGATATTTTAAATACAATATTTCTTTTATAATATTAATCAAATATTTACTTTTCAGATATGCCTAGCGTACCATTTATGGTACACCGTAAACAGGTCGCGACTTGCAACGACCTGTGCTTATGTTGACACGGTAATAGCACAGAGGTATTCAGTAAGCCTTAGTAAATCGTAACGTGCGATTGGGTTTTATCGGTGTATTGAGATTTCTTTGCGATTTTGTGCAGAAGTTTTTATTTTTTGTGACATGTTTGAATACGGAATGCGATTTGCCAAGTAAGTAAATATATGGTCTTTACGTAAATCAAAAAAATGTTTTGATTGCTTCTACCAATAAAACACACATACTTTTTCCCATTTATAATGCTAAATTACTTATGTTATTATTTTGGATTCTCAATTGCGTCATTATATTTGAGTGTGCAAAATATTGTACGGCAGAAAAATACATGCCCATTTCTTTTTTAGGGGTTTTGTCTATGGATGAAGCCCTTGCTATGCTGGAGGTTGCTGAAGATGTAGAAACAAATGTGGATAATATCACATTGATGTCTCTAGTGAATGCTTGTGACAGTCTCACAGACGAGGACTCCAGCGATGAGAATGTAATGTCAGCTGATAATCTACCGGGTTCACAATTACAAGCACCTGCTGAGATAAACATAAATGATAAAAACTTGAATATATCTTCATCTGATTCCGAAGATAATATTCCATTGTCTAAATTAACTAAAAAATAAAAAAGAAAAAGCTAAAGGAGATAAGTTTGCAACAGCTAGACCTATATTTGCAAGCCTAAATCAAAAATTTATGGAACACGGAACTTTGACAGAAATGCAGAGTGTAGATGAGGCAATGGTTCCTTATTCCTCATTCACGGAAAACCTATACGATACGGTTATAAATTATGGGTTGACGCATCAAGACTCAACCAACATTAGTAAAAAGTATGCAGATTTAGGGGTTGGTGCTGGTGTGGTATTAGAGTATTATATAGCTATTCGCTTTGATTGTTTAGATTATTTTGTGATACCACCAGAAAAGCCAACTCGATGTGGCTTATGTCATGAAAGAGTAAAAACAAGTTGCTCTAAGTGCAATGTAGGGATACGTGAGACCCCGAGCGACCAATAGCATGATGGCAAGCCGACCTGAGCCGACCCGTTTGCCGGCATCCATTTTGCCTGTGAGTTTCACTGTGATAGCGTGCTTCCTGCGTACCTCCAAGTGATACGTACATTATTCGAGTGTATTTTTGTGGAAAAGGGTAAGTTTTGAGATAATTACAATTAATTTATCTGACTAGTAGGTAAACGTATTTGTGCCAGTTGAGTATAAAGGTTTTTACAAGACCATAAATACCTAGTCTTGAAGTGTAACAGTTATTTGCGATTTGGGATTGGTGGATTTATCTTAAAATGGATACGAAAATTATATTCATAGCATCCCAATAAAACGTTATATAGTCACAACCTGCTCGAGATACAACAAAAATGCTGTTTTAAAATGTCTTAATTATTATTTTTGTCGCAGTAGGGGGCCAAATCAGCTGTAACTATTTTAAAATTTATTTTTTTTATTTAAAGTTTAACAGCGACGTTCCAAAATTTTAACAGTCGAAAATACTATATTCTTGTACCTTGAATTATAATATAAAATCACAAAATAATGATGACTAAATTAGCCGCTTACTATTGCAAAAACGTCACATTTCAACAAAATCAATAAGTGGACTATTTTTAAAAACCTTTTCTTTAAAAGTTTGTCAAAGCATCGCGTTGTGCCTGTAGACATTTTTCATCAAGATATCTAAAATAACATACCAAGTTTGTTGAAAATTAACCAAATCTCGGACTCTCATAGAAAGAAAACGTGGGGTCCTTTTAGGTGCATTATGGAGCTGCCTTTCAGTGACTCACTTGAGCTCCTCGGAATAACTCAGCAGTGCTCAGCTCCAATATTCAATAATACTTCATAATTAGCATTTTTTCAGGGGAGTGGATTTGCAGGATGCAGAAGAGGCTTCGAATGTTTTTTTTTAATGAAATTTTTCTAGCAAATTAAACCATTATATCTAGAATGAATTTTCTTTGTACCTAACCCCAATTTTATTAAAACATTTCTATAGATTTTGCTAAAATAAGCAATGAAAGAATTTTCTATATACACTGAAAATATGTATTAGATTAATGCTTGAAAATCTGTTGCTTCATATATTTCCTAAATATATATTTACGAAAAATATTAGATATTTCATCGAAATATAAAATTGATATTTAAAAATCTTTCCTCATATATTTTCTAAATATACATATCAGACATTTTTAAAAAATATTTAATAAATATTTAATGCTAACGGGGCATTGTCTCGCCTAATCAAACGACATGCAAGTTAATTTTTTTTATTGAACGACGTTCCACGTTTGTCTAAAAAGTGCGGCCGTAGAACAGCACTGAGCGTATGTGTCTTTATTACCCGATATAATACAACTAGAATCTCATATCAATACAACAAAGAACTAAGAGATCATATGAGTCACACCCTGCAATAGAAATTATACGAGTATGTCTATTAATATTGCACAAATTACAATAATAAATCAATAACTGCATTTTTTAGGTTGTGTGTTATCTATAAGAAGAATGAACAAGCTCGATACATAATCGTCATATACTTTGTTAGAAAGGGTTTTATCTGTTGCAATCTTGTCACTGTTATTATACTTAGCATGATGTATCTAAGAGATTATATTAAACTGAGAGGAATAGTTATTTAAGCTTGAAAATAAAACAATAGATTAGGTAACAGTTAATGTTTTATGTTTAAGGTACTTCATTAACGTTTGATCATGCGTATTTTCCCAAATTATTATACTGATAAAATGTAAATTGTGTACCTCCAGAAGATAAAGTCAAAGACAAATGTAAAATAATAAGTGTGTTACCTTTCTGTCCCTAAAATGTGACCCTACTTCAGCCATAGAACTTAGGCTTCCATCAGTTGTGTGGGAGATAACCTATTCACTAACATTAACAGTTTGACATCGAGCGTAATTACTTAATATCACTGCGAATACTGAAAATCAACTCCCATTGTCCGGTGTTTTCAACGGAAAATATAGACGTTTTAAATGAGTTCTCTTCAAATAAAAAATCTAGTACGAGCTTTTCGTCACACCAGCGGCAAAACGAGGCTGAACTGCATCGTCATTAGAAAATGGATGTACTCGTATAGTACTTTGTGGAACTTCCACCAAAAACGATTTTTGAAGCTTTCCCCTTCCGTTTTGACCTGGGTACGCCCATGCCCACGTATGTTTGAATCACTTTATACTGACCTTTCGGCCACCACAGCATCGTTTTACAAAGTACGAATGACTTGTTTTTCAAAATCTCGTTCATTATAGGATACATTAAATTTTATCGATAAAGACCACCGTAGCAACCGAAGCGTCAACAAAACGTAATTCAAACATACCGCCCAGTCAATCATGAAGTCATGTCGTCATAAAAACATATACCTAAGTTTCATGGAACCGGTCTCAACACTAAAAGAGTTCCCTGTAAATTGTACATTTGTTAAAAGGAGTGTTTCTGAACAGTTTATGTAAATATTTAAATATTATATTCCCGGTTCAACCACCAGTATATGTTTGGGGAGGTAAATTAATCTCAATCAGGCGGCTTACCATTAAAATAAATCTCATTAATACAAATTAGGTTCCCTGTTATACGGATTGATGTTAAACACCTTACCAAAATTGGTTAGTAGTTTCCAGAATATTTGAAAAACTTTATTTTTATCTTTCACTTGACCGCTAACACATCCAGACACCCTGTAAAAAAGTTGTCTGTGATTCACCCAATCTGAATAAACTCACCCTCATCTTTGTTATGTTCGCTATCACATCAAGATTGCACAAGTTAACAGTTAACAATCGTCTTTTGTCCTGCGCTATTAGAGTTTATATAGGTAGGCAAGTAATCGGCCTTCGCCATGACACGGAAATGGCGATTTTTTCTGATAAAACTACGCAATAACGGCATCGCCCGTTTCGATAAATATGTTAAATGATGCTGTCCAGCCTTAATCGGTAGGTTTCGCTGACATTTTTTTAAAGTTTCTGCATAAGAAAACGGCAAGTCGCGTGTTGTAGGTGTGTGCCTCGTGTGACTTCAACTGTGCTTGGTACTACCACTTCTAACAATGGGATTCTAATGAAAGATTGGTATGAAGTGGACAGACTCAGCACTTCCTACGATCACCAACGAAATTTTCAAACCATAAATTTACATGCAAGTTCTGAATTTGATAAAACAATGGGACTCTAATTCAGTGGTCAACAAATTTAAATGTTTGTAAAGTAACATTGATGAAAATAGGTTTGTTCAAAGTATTTTAGAGTCCTAAATACGAAAATGATATGCTAATTACTGTAGCACTTACAGTTTTGTTGTTAGAAGGAGAAAAAGAGGACACGACATATTTTCACAATCTCATATATTTATTCAATATAAACATATAAAACATTTGATATCTATGCAAAGACATTACTGAGGATTGGTTGTTATGCGGATAACAAATATATTGCACAATATATGATCCAGCGAGAAAAACGTTCACTTTTTTCTTTTGTGTTCTGTAGCATCATCCCTTTTTAAAAACCAACAGTAGTCGCCCAACATAGATGGGTTCCAGCGTCCCTGGTATCTTGTTTCCATCGTCCTGTTGTCCGGGTGAAACCTCTCTCCAAATGGGAGTGCTAAAAATGTATTTTTAGAGACATGCGACACTCTAGTAATTCGTAGGTTTTCAACAGTTCATCTATGAGGATTTTATAGTCTTCATCTTTCTTGTTGCCCAAAAATCCTTTCACTACACGTACAAAACGAGCTGCTAATTCCTTTTCATTTAATTGTTCTTGAAAACGGAGTTCATCTAGGAGCTTCCTTATCTGAGGTCAAATAAATATCCCTTGTTTTAATTTTGCATCACTTAGTCGAGGAAATATTTCTCTTAGGTACTGGATACCACTTCTTTATCGATGGCTTTGACAAAGTTTTTCATTAGTCCAAGCTTAATATGGAGAAGCGGTAGCAGCATGTTTTTTGGGTTAACGAGGGGGCATATTTAATATTCGAAGTTCTACGAGGCCAATCCTTTCTACTGTAGTGTTCCTTTGTTGCCCTACTCTCCCATAGACACAAAAAGCAGCATTACTTTGTAAAACCCTCTTGAAGTCCTAGCAATATACCTATGACTTTTAAATATCCCCAGATATCCCACTGATACTACTGTTCATATTTAACACGATTTAATATGATTGCTAAGTTGTCATAGGTTTCTTTCAGTGTCGCTGAACGGACTAAAGGAATAGATGGTTGTTTGTTTCCATTATGAAGCAGGAGTGCTTTTAGGCTGTATTTCGACGAATCGATGAACAAACGCCACTCGCTAGGATCATGTCCATATTAAGCTCATTCATTAAACCATCAATATCACAACAGACAAATAGCAACCCTTCCATTTTAAAATTATACAATAATAAAATAATATATAGTTATAAATGTTCGCTAAAATAAAACACTTGCTTCTTCATCTAACAAGTTCCACTGTTGAAGTCTGGAACCAAGAAGTTCCGATTTTTGTTTTGTCAATCTTAGGTCACGTACCAAGTCACTTAATTCATGCTGAGTTATTAAGTTGGTAAAAATGTTGGGACACAACTGCTGTTCTCAGGAAGTTGTGGATCAGATTCTGATGAAGAATTAGAATAACCGGGAGACAGGACGGTTTTAAGTCCTTTAGTATTTTTTTCTTATTAAAATAAAAATTACAACTGCGGCGGCTGTGCTGATGATTTCCTTATTCATTTTAACCAACCAACCATAAAATATGCACTTCACTAGCGTTCTATGTGACTGAAACAACCGGAATGATGCTTTTCGGCTTTGAGCGGCTTGTGCCGGCGGCTTGTATTGCCGACGGCATAGCCGCTCGGCATAAACCCGGCGGCATTGCCGCCGGCTTGTGTTTAGTAGCTTTAACAGGTTTCTACAATACTGTGATAATAACCTATCTGCGGTCTTGTTGTATGGTATATCTGAAGTCACTTGAAATAGCATAAAAACCTTTGGTCGGCGCTTCCTTTGTAATTTCATGACGTATCATAGGCGTGCGGATTTACAGGAGGCAAAACACAATATTCATTTTCTTTTTCAATAATATGCCTAGAACACTGCTTCCATAGGTCTGTGGCAGCAATATGAGATACTGCATCTCTTATTGTGGCCAATAGCGATTCACTTAATTGAGGGGTCTGATTATGTTTTCTTACTTTTTTTTTAAAGCAGCCCAGACCAACTCAATCGGGTTAAAAAAATGCAGTAATAGGGAGGTAGACGTAATACTTCATGGCCATTTTGCTGAAGCAGATTGTCAACAACATACTCTTTTTCAAATTTTTGTCTTTTAATAAGATCCAATAATATGGCTTTGGTTGATTTTTGTGGTATTTCCATTCCCTTATCCTTCATAAAATCAATAATGTCTTGTTTTTTTGTGCCTGTATTCGGAATTTTGTTTTTCTGTCGGGAATGGTATGGCGCATTGTCCATAATAATCACTGAATTTGGGGAAATGTTTGGTATTAACTGCTGCTCTATCCACTTTTCAAATAAGTCGGAGGGCATGTCCTCATGATAGTCGGCACATGATTCTTTGATATTTTTGGCAGATAACAGCAAGGCATTAGATATAAATCCATTTTCACTGCCAGCATGGAGAATAATGATTCGTTTTCCACGGTTGCATGGTGCATTTAAAATGCACTTGTTGCTGTCGTCAACCCAGCCGTACTGCACAACATCATGGGTATCATACCACGTTTCATCCAGGTAAATCAGATTTCTTTTCTGCTCTCTATAGATTTTAACTTTGTGCAAAAATTCTTGGCGCAATTCAACGATTCGAGACGACTCCATAATCACCATTCTTTTATCTAATTTTTTGTATTGAAAACCACACAGTTTTACAATACAGTGCAGTGAGTCTAAGCATTTGTAATTATAAAAATCTTCAGGATAATCTTTTAATTTATCCCGTATCATTTCCAACGTGGGCACCAAATTTTCTTTATAAAATCCGTATATTATACGACGAATATCTTCCTGAAAACCCACGTCTATTCTTTTTAATTTTTGCCCTATGCGCTTTCTGTGGAAGGAATGGTTGACTTCATCTCCCCTTTTTATAACCCGATAAATGGTAGACCGACTGATTTTTGTCAGGATACAAATTCTGTTTAAAATTTGATTTTGCGAGGAATCTGGATTTTCGTTTTTCAGACAATCATACATATTTAGGATTACTCTTTGGGTCTGTTCCTCTAAATCTTTATGAAAGAATTCTGCTCGCACAGGTTCATCAACCATCTCCTCGTGGCTTGGAGCATTTTCCCAAGGTCTCCAAAGAGCTATATTTAGGACACACAAGAACAATCAACACAACAAGTAAACTGAGTATTCAAAAGTCAAAAACACACAAACTAATAAAATCTATGAAAAAACACGGACAGACTAAAGAAAACACGTTTATTCACCGCTACACGGCACTGGCTAAACTGTTTCAATTTTCAGTAGCCACCTGCACTTGTTCCGAGCTCTGAAATACACGCTTTCTCATTGGCTATGTCCACGCATAGGCGTGCTTTACTCCACGTGGACCGGTGAAAATGCCTTTGATCTTATACGGGGGATATTTGCTGCGAAATTTGGCGATTTTTGCAGCAACAGAGCGTGTTAAATATAGATATATAAAACGCACCCGGTATTTCACAGTGTTTCAAGTGACTTCAGATAAAGTATACGTTGCTTAAAAAAAGCGTTTTAATAACTTCCTTAATGAAACGCAAAGTACGCAACCTCATCGATCTTACCCAAATTATGTCGGCTTGTGTTGTGGATGGTATCAAGTAGAATTCTTCATGATAATCTTCATTCATATCCTTACAAGATGGCAATTGTGCAGGAACTTTCTGAACGTGACTACAATTCTCGGATGAATTTGTGAGAGCGTCTTTTCGAAGTCGTTCCTGAGGATGCTATTGTTTTTTTTTCAGATGAAGCTCATTTTCATTTGTGTGGATCCGTCAACAATCAAAACTTGCGCTTCTGCGCTCACACCAATCCTCGACAATGTGGTGTGCAATTTCCTCAACTGGAATTATTGGTCCTCGGTTCTTTGAGGGAATTGAAGCCGCAGTAACAGTGAATTCGGACCGGCATGTCAACGTGTTACGGGACTTTTTCCACGGCTACATGAGATTTACTGGACATATTTGGTTCCAACAAGATGGTGCAACGGCACATATAGTGAGTGACAGAAAACGGTAAACACTAGAGATGATCGATATATCGGTACCGGCGACCTTTCCCGGTGACTTGAATGGTCGCCGTTAGTCCCGGCGACCTGATTCTCCATGAAGCAGCGACCCAGATCGCTGTTTGGAAGTATGGGTATCGGTAACCACTGATCGGTAGCTGTTTCGGTCGCGGTCGCTGCCAGGAAGCATATACACATCGCGTTCGCGATCATCGCGCGGGAAGTACAGGGTCGCTACAGCGTAGCCTAACCTATTTTGTTAGTTTTTATTGTTATTGTTGTGAGTTCCTGTTTCATAGAAAAATGTTTGGTTTAACAAAGCAATGTTTAACATATAAAAGAAGCATTTTTATACTACATTTGTTATGTTTTAAAAGTTTTATTTTGACTGGTAAAATAGTATTTTGTTTTACTTTTTAAGATTCATAGAAAGATATTTTATGTATTTTTATGATTTTATGTGTTTTGTGCTCAATATTGTTAAAAACAAAAACCTTAAATATAGTTTAATTCAAATCTTCAGGAACCTGAACATCTACACCTCGTTAATATCAATGGATAACCGCCGCCAAATACCGAGTAATTTAATCAGTGCCAGGGAGTCGCTGGCTGGTGGCAGCGACCATAGATAAACAGTGACCTAAAGCGCTGCTAAATCTACCGGCGACTTTAAGGTCGCTGTCACCGGTATCCCGGCGACTTGCAAGTCGCTGCTAAGATCATCGCTAGTAAACACCTGCGTATGTTTATTAGAATTCAAGAATTTTTACATATCGGTTTATCTTGCCATGAACAACAAGTGATAAAATGGTCAGGTTTTTTCTATCAAATTTTTGTGGTAGCTGCATGTATTGTTTGATAATAAAGGAGCATTCAGTTTTCGTACATTTACGGTGTTAGTTAAATATTAGACTTCGTATAGCTTATTGCGATGCCTTTTTGTAATTGCTCAAAATGCCTAGAGTGCGTAGAATTTGCCGGGTTTGCCAGCTAAGTGACTTTGAGAAGGGTCGAATTGTCGGGTTGCATGTAGTCGTGCAGTATACTGCAGTGTGAATGAGCGTGGAGTCAGGTAGGCCGAGGATAGCGAGCGAGGGGTTCTGGATGCCCCAGAGGGACCACAGAGCGACAAGCCTTTTACCTTTTTTTGTCACTCATAAGAGTACTTCTAAACCATCGATGGCTATTTCGAGGGAATTAGAGGCGATTTGGAGTGGCCGGGCCGCTCTCCCGATTTGGCCCCTTGTGATTTTTTATGGGGTTTTTCGAAACCCCATGCTTATGCCAAGCACCTTACAAGATTTGAAGACCAACATCCAGGGACAAATTGCCAACATAACGCGTGCTATGCATGTCAAGGGTCGCGACAAACGCCAAATATCGATACACCCAGTGTATGGAGAATGGGGGACGCTACTTATCTGATTCGACCTTCAGAACCATGTAAAGCAAAACTTCTACCCTATATTATAAAAAACAAATAAAAATGGTATAATTCATAAAATGGGTTAAGTTTTTAAAAAAAGCAAGTTAGGCTGCCACAACCTGTACCTGAAGATAACCAACCATATAGTGTATCCTAGCGTAAAAAATTATCTGAGGTGAAATGAGAGACCCTGTCGTATGAGAATCTGTCACATAAGCAGTGATGGGCGCATTGTATAATACACGATTGTATACGGGTATACAATGGTGAATATATACGTCTCGATATTCACGTATACAATGTACACAATGTATACAATAGCAATTCATAGTACAACTACTTGCATACAGTGCTGGCGAAAGTCCCTTTTCCTTTTAGATTCCCATGTGTACGAGGAAGAGAGAAATAGTATAGAAAGAGTGCGCCATACATTATGTTGCCCGGCACAACGGTGATGAACGCCACAGAACATGATGACTGTAACTTGCTGCAATGCCTTGTTTTCTACGTCCAAATACACATTTCTGTCGAATCTGTTCTGGATCAATTCCGGATCGATGCTAATGGTCCTCCGATTTTAGGTGGAACTGAAAGATCGGGATCGCTACAAATTCTGCAGCATTGCTTTATTGGTTTGACTGTGAAAGCAGCTCATCTATTATCTATTTATATACGTATACAAAGAAACAGTTTTAAATAAATTAGGTAAGAAACAAGTAAAATAAAACAAAATACTTGTGTGATTTCAATCGAGATATAGCGGGAATGGACAACTTTTTTTTGCAAGCACTACACTCTACGGAAACAAAATGAACCCTAGATCATCGATTTCTTTGTTCTTGGGGCATCCAACTATATTTTTTAAAGTTGCTGATTCACTGTTCACGAACTTCTTGAAGCTTGCGAATAAACCTAATCTCACTTATGCTATTCTATACATGGTCTTCATCATTATATACATTCTATTCATTGTATACGCAATGTATACATTGTATTCGCATTGTATACGTATACATTGTATACGCATTGTATACAACGAGACGTAGACAATTAGCGTATACGCGTAAACGCCCATCACTGCACGTAAGCATATATGGGCGTATAGTTAGTTGAAAAATAGAAAAAGGAAAAGCTATCACCAGACAATTATATTCCACCTTGTGGGGTAGACAGGTATCAAAAGAAACAAAAATAGACTGTTTAAATCGCTGGTAGAAAGTTTTGTAACCGGGCAGAGGTTTGATCTCGGAACGGATATGGAAAGGGGAATAAATGCTGTGCAAATGGATTTTTGGAGAATGCAGGATGCGATAAATGGCCAGAGAGGGTGTACTCAAATCGCTATATACAGGATGAGCAAGATAAAGATCCGATGCATGGGATCTCAATATCTGTGGGAGATACAGCTTAATTTAAATTTGAAAAATGTTGCGTTATTTGGGGCAGATTTACATGCTGTTCAGAAACTTGCAGAAATTTCACGGCTTACTGAGGTATTTGGGAAAAACTAAGTTTTAAAATATACTAGACGGTTGGTTATTTTTAGGTAGAATACGTTGATCAATGACAATGCTTCGCTTTCAAAATACCGAGTCTTGAACTACCTTGAAGTAATCACCTGAGATGATTGAACTTACCAATCTTAATTTATACATATTATTTTATTCATTGTAGTCAATCAGGGCATACATATCCATATCTCCGATCATCAACATTTTAAAAATAACTAGGTTACGAATTCGTAACCTATGCCTTATGACACAATATACATTTCCATAATTGAACATCATATGTTTACAAACAGAACTCTAAGGATGCATGTCAAAAAAATGTTTCGCTTATCTCATTATGATTACATACAAGTATATCATCTGAAAGCTGTGGCATCCTTCACAACTGGTTTGTTTGTGCGGTTGCAAAAATGGCTAATTTTGTTGTAAGTAAAATTTGTATAATTGTTAAAGTATCTGTACACTAAGATTTGGTTGATAGGTTGGTGGAATCTTAAAGTTATCACATTGTTACGGCTTTTGCCGTTTTGACTAAGATTTTCGATATCTGCCTGTTGCAAGTGAAAATCGATTATCAAATACATTAAAATTAACGTTGGGTCCTTAGTGTCTGAGAAGTAATGTCATGTATAAACGATTTTTGGATACAACAGCGCGACGCCTTCAAATTTGTAAAAATGTTATAGAGAAGTGTCATCTAATTATTGTTCCGGGCATTTACTAATATGTAATAAAAATAGTATCAATAATAATAATTATAGCATTACTCCAAATAATTTTTATAATTCCATTTACAGGTCAAACAATCTAAATCTGGCGTAACAACAGAAAATATACATCAGTAATTTGTGCAAATTTTAGAGAATAAAAAACATTGGTATAATATGTATAACGCTATTTAAGGTGCTGCCATAAAACCCTCTTGTGTTGAGAAAGATAACGTTTAAATATATCACAAATACTGCATTATTCTGTTGAAGTTCATACTGAAGATTTTACAGCTAAGTTGGTATTTGCACAGGTGCAAATTGGAGCTGGGATAACAGGTCTGAACATTCAACAATACCATGTAAAAGTTTATATAAGAAGACGACATAGATGTGTTTTCTTCTCTCACTCATCGAGGCAACTTGGAATATTTTCAACAATAATTGGTAGTCCGACCCACCCTAAGAATTAACTGAATCAATCTTGAAAACCAGAAATTTCTTTTGAACGTGACCGATTTGATTTATATAACAAGGTCTCCAAATCAACGAAGCATATTCCAATTTGGAAAGTATATATACAAAGTATAATGTTTTTAATGCAGTCAAGTCTTTAACAAGTCTACAATTTCGAGCAATAAAACCTAATGTTCTATTAGCACTATTTACAATTTGAGTAATGTGATAGTCAAAATTCATACTACTATCAAATGTCGACTGAATACATTTCGTCCGTTGTTATAAGTTAAATTACTAATTTTTTTTTCGACAGAATGTAACCGCTTTGCATTTAGCGATATTCAGATGAAGATTATTCAATCGACATCAATCTTCCAACTTTTTCTATATCATTGACAAAGAGCAAAAAAGCAATGGTCCAAATTCGAACACTGTGGTACCCCCAAAGGTGCTGTATAACGAAAGTCATTTAATGACCTTCCCGAACAAAGAAATTAATGATGATGGATCCCTCGAACACTAAGAATTCCGGTCGTAACCTTAAGTCACTCTCGGAGTGTTCGGGTGGAACTCGAACATCTGCGAGATTAACAGCAACACTGATGCTGTTCATCACTACTTACAATCCAGTCGTCCCGCCATGCTTTTCTTGGCGGAGTCGAAAACCTCGGAGTCTGCACCGATTAACCATCTTAGCTTCCCAAATTACGAGGTGCACTCCAATCTGAGAAAGAACGGCGGAGTTATGGCTTTTATTCACAGCAGCCTTTCCTGCTCCAGAGACGTTTCTTTGGAGTCAGGTCGGAAGGACATTTTGTGGCTTCTCCTCAACTCCAAAACATTTCCCAAATTTACTTGCTGCCTTTATCGCTCTTCCTCTGACCGTAACTGGGATGACTTACTTGAATACCTCACCATCGACATCGACTTCCTGAACATCAATCACATCGCTTCAGAGGTAGTTCTCCTCAGTGATTTCAATGCTCATAATGGTTGGGCTCAAACAAGTCCGATGCAGCAGGTCGTACAGTTGAAGCGTTCCCTCTTACTCAGGGGCTGACCCTGCTAACGAGCCCTACTTTTTCCTCCGTGTCTCGGCACATTTCAGTAGCCTTCTGAATTTCTTTCTGACCACGCATCCTGTCTCCTACAGCACTGCTGTCCTGTTGTCCCCCCTGGGTAACTCAGACTAAGGTGCTTTGGAAGTTAGGTTTCGGTCAGAATCCGCTGTGGCAGCAGAAATTCGCCCAGGCCGCAAAATTTGGCCTCACGGACATGCCGACTGGGAGGGGCTCAGAAACTTCTTCTCTACCTTTCCTTGGAGAGATGATTGTTTCGCTGACACGGATGCGTCGGCTGTCTGCTCTTCGATAACCGAAATTATCCACGTCGGGATGGAGGAATTGAAAGTGCCTAAACCAGTGGCTAACGGCTGGCTCAACAAATAGTGTGACACTGCTCGCCAGCAGAAGATTAAGGCACATAGAGCCTTCGTACAAAACCCCACTGTAGAGAACAGACAAGCCGATATCAAGTCCAGAAACAAATATAACTAAGCGGTTCGCAATGTCAAAGACCAGCACGATATAGAAGTTAGGCGCTGGGCAGCGCAATGGCAGTAGGCTTTTTGGACGCAGATCGAAAAGAACTTCTCATACAGTAGCCTTCCACCACTTACGTGTCAGGATGGAACGATTGTAACGGACTCAAAGGCCAAAGCGGAAGGGCTTGCCAGAATCCTTGCTGCGAACTCCACCGTGGAGTGCCCCCAGCGCCCAGGGATAAGACCGTAAGATGAGTGCTCTTGTCGCTCGATATCAACAAGGCTTCTTGTCCGGGCCTGATTCCTGCCATTGTACTGAAGAGGGGTGCAGCGGAGCTTGCTCCAGTCCTTTCGCAACTCTTCCAAATATCTTATGAATCTCGTACCTTCCCAGAAAACTGGAAATTTGCTCTTGTCCAACCCATCCTAAATAAAGGATCTAATACCGACCCTTACAACTACAGGCCTATAGGTCTGCTTTCTGTTATAAGTAAGGTGATGAAGAGGTGCATAAAGCGCGAGCTTCTGGTCTATCTTGAACGTCACGGCTTGATTAGCGACAGGCAGTATGGTTTCCGAAACCAGCGATCCACAGGGGACCTCCTAGCTTACGTCTCGCAATTGTGGAATAAATTCATCCAGTAGTATGGTAGGGCTCATCTCGTTGCTCTTGATGCGAAAGCGTTCGATCAGCTATGGCCCGCTGCCCTTTTATGCAGACTTCCATCGTATGGCCCCCCAGAAAAGCTTTGCAGATGGATGGCCGACATTCTGGCCGCAAGATATCCGTCGTAACTGACGTGCCACAACGTCAACGCTAATCTACATGTAGGAAGTCATAGTGACAAGCCGATCTCTGCCGCTGAGCTTAGAAGAAGATGACTAGCGACGACTTCCTCTCTGACGAGAGGCCTGGAGGTTATCACTGCTTGGGGACGCAACAATCTTGCTGTACAGTTTAATGCTTCCAAAACACAATACTGCACCTTGACGAACAAAAAGCGTCCTATCGCTCATTCTGTTTCGACGGATGTACGAGTTCTGCCAAAGAGCCGTTCACTTCGGCTGGACGGAGTCCCGATCACCGATAGCTTGATCTGGCACTAACACATCTCATCAATAGCGGCAGCTGCTAGGAAACAGCTAGGCTATTTGTATAGGACTAATAAGTACTTTTCTCCGTATGACCTTCTCTCTATATAAAAAGCCCAGATAAGGCCTAACCTCGAGTATTGCTCACACGTTTGGGGTGCTGCCGCCCCGACTATATTATGTATGCTCATTGCTGTCCTTCCATCCTAACCGTGGAGAACTTCGTACATCCAGAACTGGCCGATACGACCGCTTCTACGACCCGAGGGTATCGAAATTGTGGAACAATCTACAAAATAAAGCTTTTACCAGTTCTTCTAACCTTACGCAGTTCATAAATCGGATTAACAAAATTTCATTGGGATCATAATGGCAGATGCGGTTTCCCGGCATTTAGGCTTCTGCCTGCGCGGCTGCTTCGGTATACAAAAATTCAATTCAATTTGGCAAGAAATATCCTGTGATCAGGTTTATCAAATGCCTCTGAAAAATCCGTGTACACTACGTCCAACTGGCCCTAAAGATCCAAAACATTTGAGTGAAAATTGCTGTTGCATATAATGTAAATTTCTTCTTCGAATACCTTATCAAATTGAAAAGCGATTCATAAAAAACAAACATGTATGGGAGATAGCTAATTACTTTGGTGCTCTGAACGATATTCCCGAAAGTATGAATCAGTACATAAAAATATCCTATCCAGTTAAGTCACGTCAATATGAGATAAAGCTTCTACAATAAAAACGTCCAAAAGATGTTGGGTTTTTCTGTAACTTATTATCTACCATAACTGAACATAGGTACGCAATGTGTAGGCTTCGTTACTTGGTATTTTTAAGAAATTCGTGTCGTACTGGTAAGACGTACTACAATGCCGCTCAAGAATCGCTTTCAATCAGTAATTCGAGGGCTGCCCAAGTACCAAGCCGCAACCGCATCAACTTAACTTTTTCTTTATAATTTTTATTTTCTGCGCCACTGGCATATGGATTTTAAAACGAGATATTCTGTTATTAGGGTGTTATATGACATCTAGATCAGGAAAAACTATGTCCCTCATTTCTGTCCTGTAATCCTTGGCTCGACTATAACTTGAAAAGTACCCACTCGGATTTCGGTCAAATTTTCACTCAGAGTTACTACACTGAGTGACAAAAAAAGGTAAACACCCACGTATGCTTATTAGAGTTCAAGAATTATTTACATATCGGTTTCTCTTATCGTGAACAACAAGTGATAAAATGGTCAGGTTTTTCTGTTAAGTTTTTGTGGTGGCTGTTTGGTGATAAAGAAGCTTCCAGCTTTCGTACATTTACGGTGTCAGTTGAATGTTAAATTTCGTGTAACTTATGGAGAAACCTTTTGGTGATTGCTCAAAATGCCTAGAGTGCGTACATTTCGCCGGGTGTCCCAACTAAGTGACTTTGCGAGGGCTCGAATTATCGGGTTGCGAGAAGTCGGTCTATCGATAAGAGAATTATTTAAGAGCACCAACAGCGGGACGACAGAGCGACAAAACCGCCGGTTAAGACTTCTGGCACTGACAGATTCAGTAGTACTCAAGCCATCGCTAGTCAGTGATTTGAAGAGCATGGAAGGATGGTTGATATGCGTACGGTATATCGCCGAATAAGACAGTTTGGCCTTTTTTCTTATCGCCCACATTGGGTGACCCACGATTTGACAGAGAATATTCGTAACTTTAAGAGGTGATTCCTTGCATTATTTAAGCAAAAAGTTCATTATAACTTATGTCCGAAAATCAATCGTTTTCGAGGAAAGTGAGTCATAAATAATTATTTTTTTTCAAACACGTGGCAACGCTGCAACGCAATCGCGATACGAACGCACGACGACCGCAACTGATTCATTGAATTGTTTACGTTTGTATGATATTTTTGTTGAAAATATGCCTTGAATTATTGAATACTTCTACGCAATTTTTTGTGGCTAATATTTTTTATTTAATAATGCTTTTAATACTGTACATTTACTTAAAAAAAATGACAGAACTTACCGGTACGTGGCGAAACACCACCAATTCCCACGATTATCAGTCACTTATTTGGAACGATTCGACGCACGAAAAAAGAAAAAAAAACAACATCCGTAAATCTCATAAAGTTACAGTTAAATCTATTAGTAATCACAGCAACACGCGATGATACATGCAGTGCAGGCGAAGTACGACGTTGCCAGTTGTGTGAGGGATTTTGTTTGTATGTTTTTCTTCGGAAAATTGTATTTAATAAGCAAGAAAATTATTTTGTTAGAGACATTTAATTAATAAATAGATGTATTGATATATTTTACGCTATTAGGCATACGAATTTAAATTATTAAGGTGCAAAATTAATTTATTTCATGATTAAGAAGAAATAAGTTCTGCATTTTTTGCTCCAAAACGGTTGATTTTCTGACATATGTTATAATGAACTTTTATAATGCAAGGAATCACTCTTGAAGTTACGAATATACCCGTATATCTTGAAATTGGTTAGATTTAGGTATAGAATGTTATAAATGTCGCGTATAATCTAAAAATTTAATAACATACAGAGTATTCCAATTGAAATAATCAAGTCAGTATCTACTTCTTGCACAACCAGAAGTTTACTAGTTCGAAAATATTTCAGCAGAATTGCCCACATCAGCTTTAAACCCAAATTTTTATTACTGTCTTACGTCAACTTTTTGAGTAATATGCCGCTGTTGTTTTCCACATAACAGATGAACAATTACACAAAATGTTGTGAAAGTCTAAATCCTGCTTAAAATAAAACTCAATAATTTCCAACTAAAAAAATGTTACAGCAGTGAAGAATGTTTAGCATAAGTGCTGCATTGTTGTTTCAACTACTACTAACGTATGTATGCCCTAAAAGTTTTGGCACAAAATTCTTTGGCTTTAATTGCAACAAACACCAAATAATATCAAATTGCCTTTGGAAACAAAGGTTTGTTTACTTACTTTACTGTCAGTTGACATATATTTATTTTGAAGTTTTCGCCTTAAGATTTTGTATAAATTAGAAATAAGAAATAGTATCTACATGTTGGTTGGGCGCGTACCCAAAGCTGATCGAATATTCCATAATGGAAATATTTCACACAGGACCATTTATCAAACAATAGCGGAGTGCGAGCAGGGAATACCATGTCTGAATCTGCATTTACTGCTCAGAGGACAGAGAGATTGGTGAGAAGAGTAACAAATCAGGCTGGAATGTCAACAAGGAGACTGGCTCGTCAATACAGATCTTCTAAGAGTTAGATATCATTGGAATTGAGGAGGAATCGTCTTTAATATCAAGGGCGGTGGATCGCAATATTTTGAGGGAAGAGTGGGGGGTGAAGCTTTGAAAATAGTCAGAGCTATATTGATAAATGCCTTTCCAAATTGCTTCAGTTTGCCCACGAACATCATGCTAGTGACCATATCATGTTTTGGCTAGACCTAGCATCATGCCATTACTCAAGAGATACCTAAAACGGGCTTCGACAACAAAACATACATTTTCTCCCAAAAACGAGAATCCTCCAAACTTGCTACAAGGTCGCCCAATAGAGGATTTTTGGGCTTTACTGACTAGGAAGGTTTATCATGAAGGCTGGGAAGCTCAAGATGAATAGCAATTAAGACGGCGAATTCACGAAAAACTGAGTTCATCCAGGACCTTATGAGAGTCATTCGAATAAAGTTGCGTCAGAACGGGCGACTCTAAATAATTCGATAGTATAGATTAGTTAAGTATTGAGTTGCAATTTATGATTACTAGTTAGTGTTTAAATAAATATCTTCGTTAAAAAAATCCGATAAATATTTTGTACCAAAGCTTTTAGGATATACGTTATTACTCGTAACTTTTAACAATGTTTTCTTTGCCTCTTCTTAGTAATATTTTTTATTTTTATATTCTTTAAATTCTTATATGTTGGTATGTATACATCGAATCTGTTTTCATATACTGTTTTTTTGCACCTATTGCTGGAGTACAACAGACGTTTTCCAATAATGTTATACATTCCTGTGGATATGAAGAAAATTATTATTATTATGACATGTCCTCCATATGGTTAACTACAGTTCACTACAGCACCAAACGACAAATCATACAGTTGATTCACTACTTCACCTTTTTATCATTTCAGATTTTAACCTTGGCTATGCTGATAGTCTTCACGCTTGCAAAACCTTACGGAGAACGTGATAGAGAGATATATGAAGAAGATCGTCGGAGACACGGAAACCATCACACAGAGAGTGACGTCAGTTCCGGTGACCGCAGCGGCCCAGGAAAACCAAGTGATCAATCACATCATGGGCAAAGAAATGTTGGGGGTGTCCACCAGGGTGGATATCAGCAACACGGTTACTAGGATTTATGATACCCCATGATATTCGTTGTGGAAGTTGTGCAGTATTTCGGAAGAAATTATATGTATCAATTGTAATTAATATATCATTTGACTAACACGTGTTTGATACAGTTGGTAAAACCTTTGTTTGAAATAAAATGGAACATATGCAGGATTAATTATTTTGTTGTTTCTTACTTAACAAGTTGTAAGTTTCCTGTTAAAATGGATAAATCAGTGTTCGATTATCATAATCAACATATCGGTACCCCACACCTGTACTAACTAGTATTAGCCTAATCATATTAGCAAATTTCCCCGAAATAGTTGTCTGGTTTTCTTGATGCAAGTTATTCAAGGGGGTATTTAAAATATGGACACATAAAATGGGTACACCGATTTTTGTGGGAAAACTTTTTAATCGACAACAAAGAATGAGAAAACGTGTTTTTTGAGATTCAATCGAAAGTGTTGGCAGAAACAAAAAAACTCTTCAAATAAGATTTTTAGGTATTCATCAGATCTACAGAATGAGGTCTCTCATAAAAATATCCGACTAATAGTAAAAAAGTTATAGCCGAAAACCCAGGCAAACTGCAGGTTTCGGCACTTGCTGCTAATACGATGATAATTTCAAGCAGCTACATGAAATTCTTCAAATCCATAGGCTTCATACTTTTAAGTAACCACAGCAAACTTGGAGTCGACTGGTCAAGTAATCTTTGAGAATTTCTAATTGCTTATCCCAAAACGAGAATTTCTAATTGCTTATCCCAAAACACCTGTCTTCCGGCTATCACTACTAGTTTACTGGGAAATGTACAGGGTTCGTTCAAAGGACATTTTATAGCCAAATACACGAGTTTACCTTGCCGACATGAATCACAAACCATTCCGAAAGATAATTGTGGTTTTTACGCTTTTTCTTCTTAACAAATTCAAACATTCCGTATTTGTAAGTAATTGAACAGATTCGCTACGATATTCGAAAAACATACGTTATTATACACATTTTAAAATAAAGCGATGTCCATCACCTTTTGTTGCGAAAAAAACATTTTTTTCAAGATTTCTTCATACTCTTGTATATATGTATCTACTGCATGTATACACAAGATAAGTATATATTAGAGCTGAAATTTTTACACGGTCACAGATGGCCCCAAACCTTATAAAAAGGTATTTCATACTGAACTGCGCTGTACTGTTTATAAAGATCGCACGTAAACTGAAGACACTATTATGTTTCAAACTGTCTTAGGCTAGTTAACAAAATTAGGCAAAATGCTAGGTATTAGTCCCTAATACATTATTTAAAGTTTCAGCATTGTATCTTGTATAGTTTTCAAGACTATTTTAATGGTTTATAATATATTTGATGTCTCCAGCGTTCGCTTGACATTTGTCAGTGTCAAGTGTAGTGGTAAAAAGATCCAGTAAGCCAACAAGCGTCGTAGCGTAATGGGAAAGAACGGCGATCAAAACTGTTCATTAGCAATGGTTATCCGAAGTGTCTGATTAACAAGATCTTATTTAGCTCACCTCCCAGTATTTTGCCAAACTCTAATGATACAAGTAATAGTCTCACAACCCCTAATAACAGAACTGATAGAATTCCCAACAACAACACCAATTCAAACAATACAACCACCATTCCAAATTCCAGACCTGGTTTTGCTGTCTTACCCTATATCAAGAAACTGACCCCTAAGCTGATCAGAACTGTCGAATTGCTTGCAAATCCGTCCTCGCTATAAACTGCATTTTTTCAAATATGAAAGACAGAGTCCCGCTGCTTGGCTTAACCAACACAGTCTACTCTATCAATTGCAACAATTGCAACCAAATATACATAGGTCAGACTTCCAGATCTCTTAAAGAAAAGATTACATCACACAAAAGTGATTCTAGACTTCATCCTGAAAGATGCGCTCTAGCATCTCATGTTAACACAACAGGGCACTCTATGAACTACACAAGTATCAAAGTTCTCGATAAAGAAAAACACCTATCCAAACGTTTATTCCTGGAAATGTCCCACATTTTCATGAATAACAACTGTATCAATAAAAAGACAGATGTTAAGCAACTGAGTGTCATTTACTCATATTTGCTAAACTGCGAAAAATTGGAGCACTTACACATCTCCCCAAATTTTGACTCTTCACAACCATAAATGGAATCTGTTTCTTGGTCTATTCCACCAATAAACTTCATTCCATTCAAAATTTTAATAATTTTCTCATCACGATTTAATAATAATTGATAATTTAATTGCCCATTAATAAAGTATAGTCAATTCAACTGCCTCTGGTCGGTTTGACAATTTCTTACATAACACATTTTGAAAATCACATCATCTTAAGTGATTTGGCAACGTAGCACACGCCCACAAAATAATTCGTTCCATCTTTCTACACAGACACTGACAACCTTCGGCCTTCTGTCAAAGGGTTCATCTTACTCATTATTCCATGCCCACCATTTTGTGCAATCATCAAGTGGCTTCACGATGTAATGCTTTCATGTTCTAAAAATTTTTAATCTGTTTTTAACTTGTTCTTGTCACACAGTTGTGTGTATTTTATATAATTTTGACCATTGTACCATTTATCCAGCTTTCACCATGTTACTGGGTGTTTCCCTCATCCTGAACGTAAACAACAATTAGCAACATCCTCAAATACTATTGTCAGTTAAGTTAATTTAAATTCATTTACACTATTGTTGCTACTGTTATCAATGTAATTGCAGCTCCTGATGATGATGGCAAAGTCCATTGAAAGCTAGAGAGAATAAAAAAAGTACAAAGAGTCCTCTTTGCTTAAAATTATTGTCGAAGTACCCAACAAAAGGCGGAAGCATTAATTTTTCACCTATATATATATATATATACTTATATATACTTATATATATACAACTTTGAAGTTGAGTCATTAATTTTCAGATAATTATTGTAGAAGGAAGATAAACCAAAATATGTGTGTAAAAATAAAAAAAAATAAAAAAAAATGTTACCTTGTTTTATAAAGTATCCTCCCGACAAGTATTTCAGTGCGGACCTGTATTTGATCGTGCGGTCTTGGAGCACCGACATGCCTTGCCCTGTGAAGTCTTAAGTCACCTGATTCACGAGCCCTTTGTACTACATTAACAAAGGCACGAGGGATTGGTTGCACTCGATTGGGAAACCGATCCACATAAATTCGTGATGCCGCGTAAATAAGAATCATGTCCACAAGTTCAGCATTTTCGTAAACATGTGCCATTTTTGATTTCGTTTGAGCCACGCAACAGACACCACTATTCACTCACGCGTTACCGACTGACACTGACTGTATACAACTGAATAAAATAATTGTAAAAACATCGTTCCAAATTCTTTCGCTTTTTTGTTTCCGATGCGATGAACCGATAAGGCGGATTATATCCGGTGTTGCCAAACCCGAGCACATAATATTATTATTGAGACAGGGCGGTACTCAAACTTCCAAAGGGCTATAACTTTGTTACTTTAATTTTACCAGAAAAATGGTAAAGGAAATAACATTTCTTTTGATCAGATCTACTCACTGTGAAAATAAATGACTCAACTTCGAAGTCACCCTGTATATGTATGTATGTATATTGATCAGTAAACTAGTAGTAACGGCCGGAAGTCAAGTACAATTAGAAATTCTCTAAGACTACTTGACCAATCGACTCCAATTTGGTTGTGGTTACTTAGAAGTATAAAGCCTACGGATTTGAAGAATTTCAAGTAGCTGCGTGAAATTATTGTCGCATTAGCAGCAAGTGCCAAAACCTGCATTTTGCCTCGGTTTTCGGTCATGAATTTTTTGCTATCAGTCGGATCTTTTTACGTGTAGTCTCATTCTGTAGGTCTCATGAATATCTAAAAATCTTATTTAAAGAGTTTTTCATCCTGCTAACACTTTCGATTGAATCCCAAAAAACGCGTTTTCTCATTCTTTGTTGTCGAATAAAAAGTTTTCCCACTAAAATTGGTGTACCCATTTTATGCGTCCATGTTTTAAATACCCCTTTTCAACAACTGGCTTCAATAAAATCCGACTTTACAATTATTTCGCAAACCAGTGGTATTTTCGTCTAATATGATTAGACTAAATAACCTAAACAATCTAGTGATTAGTCACGATAAAACAGTAGCCATGGATATAAAATCTGTGAGAAAGAAACTCTGTAATGTTAGCTTGTCTCGTAATGGCCACAACATCGAGCTCTCTATGACTACAAATTTTTGTGGTGGATTGCAACCTAAACTGGGAAATCAATATCGACAGCGTTTGCTTTAGTCGTGAAACGTAAATTAGTGTGTACTATGCGTTTATATAAATATGTACTCAGCCCTGTTATAATATCGTTGTCTGTTAACAGGCCTGAAATATGGACATAGTCTTCATCGCGCAAAAAAGAATCATTAGAAACATGTACATTTTGTCTCACATTTGGTTGGGCACAAAATTGAGTCTGTTTACGCGGCCCCTTTTATTAAAAAAAATATTTGATTTGTTTTGATTTATTACAGAATACAGGACGTATGAACGTACCTAATAAGTATTTTATTCATTAACTACTAACATAAAACACAAAAACGCCAATAATTGAAAACATGATTAACAAAAGTTCTCATAAACAAAAAAATACACTAAATTATGTTTTATTTAAATAAAATCAGTCCGAATCACTAGGCTCATTTGGGCAGCTAGAAAAATATATTTACTTGTGTGTTGGGGGCAAATCGGCATCTGGCATGTATTGCACATTTTTTTCACTTTTCTATTTTTTCTAAGAGGACAAAGGTAACAAAATCGAGTTGTGTCTTCTAGTTGCGGAACATTTTTTTCTGCTCTAATCCCTGCTATTTTCATAATAATTATGACACAACAACTATTGTCGTACGAAGTGATAAATAGAGGCGCAGGATCTTGCAGATCTATAAAAAAGATAATCTAAAGGCTTTAATTCATATTCCGAGGACATAAAAAGGGTTTCAACTTTATTTTATTCTTGTTCTAACAGCAAAATGGCCAAATTAACAATTTTTTTACTGCGGCTCATGTCTAACCCAATTGGTCGCGCGTTGAGGGAAAGTCTCACGTAGCGTACACGTACTCAGTCAAAAGGCATTGTCAACAGACTGGTGTGGATCTCTTAATATATAATGATCATCCAAGGTCACGTTTTGGATATGATGAAGCGATAGCGCCGTAGATTTT